GGTTAGCCAATTTTGGGCTTTCATAATGGAGAGTAAATCTAGCATCATTGAAGGTTTAAAACTTAAAAGATTGAACTGAATTTAGGGTCCGTTTGATAACACTTTTAAAAAGTAAAAAATTACTTTGAAGATTAAGAAATTAATTTTAAACATGTTTGATATTTTTTAAAAAAATATTTTGTCTGATTACTAAGAATTTTAGAATCAATCATTTATTAATTTATATGGTAATCAACACTTAGGCCATGTTTGTTTCGAATTAAAATCATATTTTAATATAAGTCAAACAATCAATATTAACCACATCTTTCATGGGTCCCACAACTTTTTCAACTACACATTTTAAAAACTTCTATCACAATCTACTAAAAGTCTAATTTTAATCCCATCAAACACCCACAGCCACTTAGTGTAATTTTCAAGGACAACTAAGACGAAAAACCATATTAATATCATGTTTGGCTTTGTTTATTTTGTAGACAAAGCTGCTTCTTTTGGATAGTATCACCCTTGATAACTATCTAAAAAAATCTTTAAAAAAAAGCTAATATGACCTTCTTTTTCAACTTTTAAGCTAAGCCAAAGATATTTGAGGATTTCAAAAGCCAAAAATCATAATCATGAAAGTTTTAAGTGTATTTTCTCATGTAATTGGAAAGTAAATGAGTTGGGTTTTCAAAACCTTCCCTACCTACCTATTACCAACAATTAAGTACTCAAGGTAGGACTAAAGAAGCCTTTTAAGAGCAATTCCACTATGTAGATCATGATTTGCTTCATCATTAGTGCAATGATAAAGCTTGTAAATTGACGATAATAATTCATTGATAACGATGTTCATTTTGCAATATACGATAAAGTTTGCATCATGTTAGTTCCATTTTGATGCAACCAATAGCAAGAAATTACAAAACTAAAGAACACGATCAAATATACGTTTGCTTCATAATAATACCTAATAGTTGATGATTAAAACTCATTAATTCGTGCACAAATACTGAGAATTGGTTCTTGGTCAATAAATAGTTAATTCGGCAACGAATACAAACTCGGATTGAAAATTTTGAAAATTCTCCAAATACTGTAATTTTATTCAATCAATAGCAAACCACAATATTGAACCCATGTAGTCTTTCAAAGACTCAAAACCTGGAAAACATAAAAGTGACTTCATTGTTCCTACCTAAAAGCTATAATTAAAAGGGAATTTAAAATAATAAATAAACCATACTATGAAAAATATGAAAAAAGTCGTGGTTGAGCCGTAGGACATGCACTCAAGAAAATGAAGTTATATCATGTTCGGTATACCGTATGATATGATATTGTTCATATAAATAACCATACTAGATATGACTGGACATGACATGGAACTAATATATTATATCCTTCATGATTGGTTCAGTTAAAAAAGTAGATTAAAATTTAAGGCGAAATTAACAATCAATTTTGAACACACATTTCATGGATTCATAACTTTTCAACTACATATTTCATCAACTTTTATCAAAATTTACTAAAAATCTGATTTTTATCTAAACCAAACAAAGGCTATATTATATCTCTTCCACAATCATTTCGATTCTATCGACCATACCCTAATGTTTGATAGTAATTGCAAGATCCTTTGGTCAATAATCAAATTAAACTTTTGAGACAACATTAGAGATACTTCTGAGCTTCATCATAATATCATAAACACTCTCATATTTAAAAAAATCATACCATCCTCCCTTATTTCTAGTTTTTAGTATCACATATTGACAACTTTTTTAGCTATATCATTTAAAATGATGTTGACGCACTTAAAATTTGTTTGTGAGGATAAAAAATGTGTTTTCTACAATTAATTGCAATTTAATTTGTTCCATTTAATAATAATTTAATACTAAAAGATTTTGGACGTACATAATTCATAATATGCAAGCTAAACATTGTCGTAGAATTTGATAATAAAGGATTTAAATGTTTTAATGAATTATATATACTATAAATACTAAAAAATGCAAACTTAAAAATAAAATTCTTATTTATAAATTTATAAACTAAACTAAATGTTAAATGTAAAGTATAAACATGCATTTTTTTCAATTCAAGTAACATAGCTAAAAAGTAACATATAAAAAAATCATTAAAACATTAGACAATTTAAGAAAATTTTATTAAATGATGACTATATTAGTGCTCGTTTGGGTTTCATTAGAAGCTTTTGAAATTATAATGTAATAAAAATATAAGTAAGTAGCAGTGGTGGATATCCTATAATATGTGTAGAAAATTTCATCTTTTTCTTCACATGGACAATCAACCTCATTGCAAATTATATAGCTCAAACATTGGTCATGTGATACTCAAATTCAGAAGTATGAATGTAGTGTGATGTTTTAAACGTAAGAGGTGTCTCTCATATTATTATAAAACTTAAGGGGTGTCTATGATAATTTCTCTAAACTGAGATTTACTTTCATTAAGCCCCAAAATTGAATTATAGCAAAATACATGAAAATCAATAGAAATTTATTTATCGCAAAGTTCAGTAACTCTATGCCCTTTGTGATGTAGATGGATTTTTTTTTAAAAAAAAACAACTCCTCATATCTTGATCAAGTGTCAAAACTGAGTATCAACTATTATTTACTGCAACAAAATTTGTTGGAATTTGGTTTAGAGATGAAAATTTAGTTAAGTGTACAACTTTAAAAAATGACTTTGTGTCACTTCAATCAAGTATTCGAACTTGATTCGATAATCAAATTATAAATATAAATAGACTAATTTATTCTACTCGTCGAGTAGATTGTCGTGATATATTTGGAATTCAAAAGAAATTCCAGATAAATGAAAAATTGTAATCCAAATTTAGAATAGAAAAGAGGAAAAATTGGCCGAGAAAAATGCTTAGCTCGCCTAGCGCTCAAGCACGCTAGTGCCAGACGAGCAATAGCTCAGTGCATTGTGCCGCTCGAGCGCCACATGAGCGGTAGGCGAGCGATGGAACGGGTTGCGTTCCTTCATGAAAAAGTTGAGTTTTTGGATGTGTCTCTCCAACCACACCCTTTCACCTTCTATATAAAGGACCCTAAGACGTTCATTGTTCATTGCATTCTATTTTTACACTTTGGTTTTGCTTAAAAACAATTTGTAAAAGTGATTCCTTTTTTTGTATCAAAGGCATGGTTATGATAGAGAGGAAACTCCATTTGAGTTTGTTGATCTAAGCTATTTGGAGTGCGCCTATGGATAGATGTGATCGTTGTATTTTGGGAGATGAATGTTGGAAAATCGTTAGCACCGATGCGGAGCAAATTTATCTTAAAGAAAAATTGTCAAACATTTGACTCCATCAATCTAATCACTTGCATTTCCTCTATTATTATTATTATTATTATTATTATTATTATTATTATTATTATTATTATTTTCTGATTTCTTTGAACTTGAGATTTGATTTTAGAAAAACTAACTATTATTTTGATTATGGGAAATACTTTTTTTTTTTCAGAGATGGAAATGATAAAATCTATCATAATGTATTTGGCTTGGTAAGTATTATTTCGTCTTCTCAAATCCTATTTTGGTATGTCAAAACTATGTTCGATTTCGAGCACGTAAAAGGTACGTTTTGAGAATATATGCACGTTATCGGTGTAATATTCCCAACAAAATTTACATCATGAATCCATGATAATGAGGTTTCGAAAAATACTTTCATTTTAATTTAGGATCAGTTCTTCTTAACTTGAGGAAACCCAATAAAAATTAAAAACTACACCAATGTCTTTCAGATCAAAGAATAACCAGCTTTAATTCATACAATGGTGCAATCCCGAAAAATTACTGTATTAAATTGAGTTGATGTATCCCTCCTGGAGTAATGATTCAGGTTAGAGCAAAGAGAATGAAACAAATGTGGACAACAATGATAAAAAAAAAAAAGGAATTTTCGTCCTAAACCTGTCAAATTCCTTCGTTTGTTGGAACTTTTTCAATCAATAGGGTCGAAGAATCACTCGAAAGATATTGCTTCAAACAGTTGATATCATGGGCTACATCCAGCATTGTTGGTCTAATGGAAGGATTGTACTGTGTGCAGATTAATCCGAGTTCAATCATTTCCACTATAACATCTCTCCATGTATTGCTCTGATAAGGAGGAATGGGGGTTTGTGCTGGTGAATACTTCACTAATGCTTCTTCAATAAGAGGCTCAAGTTTGCTTGGATAATGATTTTTAACCCATTCGTGCAGGCTTGAACCTTGTTGAAAAAGTACGTCTGTTGGCCTTTTCCCTGTCACAATCTCTAGCAGAAGAACGCCAAAACTGTAAACATCTCCTTGTGGTGAAGCCCTTTTTCCCATTCCATATTCTGTAGAGCAGAAAAGTAATTAGATAATAGTCTTGGAATGAAGCGTATTATCGAAAAGAAGAGATAATTTACTTGGTATGCATAGTTATTAATTCCTATTTCTTTATTTGACTAGTTTAAATGAGCAACCACGACGAAATCTTAATAAGTCTTATTCTTGATAATTTTGGTAAAAGGTACCACCTTTTCGCCAAAATTCGATTTCGTTGATATATCTAGTGTGTTGATATTAGGATTTATGCTATAATATTTGGAAGTTAAATTTAGTAAATGAATCTTGGGTTTTTAACACACCCGAATGGATTCTAATGTGCATCTCTTTAACGACTTAAATTTTTAGATTAGATAATTCAACGTACCGGGAGCAATATAACCAATTGAGCCGCAAAGCAAACCATCGGTAGAGTCGAAGGAAGCTGAATCATGGACAGAAACATTCTCATCAGCACCCTTCAACAATCTTGCGATACCAAAATCAGTGACAAAAGCAGTCATCATCATTCAAGAGAATATTGCTAGGCTTAAGATCACAATGCACTACTTTGACAGGAGAATGATGATGAAGATATGCCATTCCCTCGGCCACATCACTGCAGATATTCACCAACTGAACCAAATCCAATCCATGGCTTGGATACAGATGATTTTCAAGGCTTCCATTTCGCATCAATGGAAGAACAAGAGCCTTAAAATCTGGCCTACTACATGTTGTTATGATTCTGATCAAATTTCTGTGCCTAGTCGTTTTAAGGACTTGACATTCCCTCTTAAAGCTTCCCGAAATTTCTCGAGCTGTTGAATATAGTACTTTCACAGCTACCCTTGTGTTATCTTTCAAAACTCCTTTATAAACTTGCCCAAATGTACCTGAGCCAATCAGGCTTGAAACACTGAATCCTCCGGTGGCTTCAACTAGCTCCCGGTGAGAAATTCTTGGGTATTTTATCTCCTTTCTACCTTCTTCTTCATCTTGGATGGTCTTGGCATTAGACACTACCAGTTGCTTTCTAAATTTTGGCCTGAGTAGTAGAGGATATCCCACGATGCAGAAAATGGGAGTGATGACTAGTGAAAGGAGAATTGCCATTAACAATTTGTGTTTCTTTTTTTTTTCGGGCATTTTTTCATACCTGGTATTGAACCACAAATCCCATTGTTTCCCAGGAAAGACTCGATGCTTAACAACGAAAATGATCCCTTGTTCGTTATATTTCCAGAAAATCTGTTGTAAGAAAAGTTAAGCTCCTTTAGAGTTGATGATGCCTGCAGTGATTGCGGGATCTCCCCAATTAATTTATTGAAGGAGACATCGAGTTCTTTCAGATAAGGTAAGTTTCCTATTGATGCTGGAAATGCTTCTTCGAAGAAATTATTCGATAAATTGAGGGACTCGAGAGCAATGCAGCTTCCAAGTTGTGAAGGGATTGTACTGGACAGGTTGTTTGATGATAAATCAATAGCTAAAACCATGTCCATTTTACTAAGCTCAAAAGGAATAGGCCCTTGTAGGTGATTGCTGGACAAGTTTAAGTACAACTTTAAACTACTCAAACCAGCAACTTCACCGGGAATTGTCCCAGAAATCCTATTGTGAGAAACATCCAGAGTTTCCAAGGTAACACACTGTCCTAAACTTGTTGGAATGGTTCCCGAGAGCTGGTTTTCGTAAAGCAAAAGTCGTCTTAGCTGAGGAAGTTTAGCAAAGCTGTCCGGGATGCTACCGGAGAGCTCATTTTTGGACAAATCGAGAAGGCCTAAATGGGAAATGTTTCCAAATGCAGATGGAATGTGACCAGAAAGTGAATTATTAGACAAATATAGTCTCTCAAGTTTCCCCAGTTGGCATAGTTCAGATGGTATTGAACCACCGAGAAAATTTCTAGACAAGTTCAAGAGAGTGAGGTTAAAAAGATTCGAAATCTCTTGAGGTATCGGACCATAAAGAAGGTTCTGGTCGAGATTAATCAGTACAAGACTAGTAGAGAGGGAACCGATAATAGAAGGTAACTCTCCACCAAGATTATTTCCAGCCAAATCAAGTTCTTGCAAGTTGGTGGAATTAACTAAAGCAGCAAAGAAGGGTTTGAGGTCAGTGTTACCATTATGGCTAGAGAAATTGTTATAGGACAAATAAAGAAATTGCAAATGTGGCATTTCATTTACTATACGAGAAGGCAACTCTCCACTTAGAAAATTGGATTCCAAGTCAATCCATTCTAGTTTTGAGGAATTTGAAAGGGCTTGAGGAACTTCTCCCACAAGTTGGTTTGACCAAAGAAGAAGAAACTTTAACTCTCTAAGACCACATTGATTATTCTTCAAAGGGATTTCACCACTAAGTGAATTGTTGGAAAGGTCTATATACTCTAGATTAGAAGAGCCATTGCACAAAATCGACGTAGGGATTTCTCCGGTGAGTCGGTTGCTTCCTAAATTAAGATATATTAATTGATGAAGAGATCCCAACTCACTCGGAACCGTCCCTTCAAGATTATTCCACGATAAACTCAGCTGCTTGAGCCGGATAAAGGATCCAATCTCAGTTGGAATCCGGCCTTCAAAGAAGTTCCAGGACAAGTCAAGAATTTCTAAGGAAGAAAGAGAGGAAAGAGCTGGTGAAATGTTGCCATGCAGAGACCTTTGGCTTAGATCAAGCTCCAAAAATTCATTTCTATTCTTGTCACATTTTACACCAAACCAGTTGCACACATGAATATCAGAAGAATTCCAACTCTCCAAAGCATGTTTAGGGTCAGAAATTATACTAGACATGAACAGTACAAGGGATGCTCTATCATTTAAAATTTGAGCATTATTTTCAGCTTGTACCACATAGAAAACAGTAATCAAGAAAAGTATATTAATATTGAACCACATTCTTGCAACAAAATTGGAAGTAGAGAGAGAGAGAGAGAGAGAGATGGCATGACACAAGTGCAATACACCTTGTTATAAGGGACTGTAGCTGGAGATTACTGCTAAGAAACAAACCCTTTGTGCCTAACTCCCATTGAAGTAAGGTTCTTCATGATTGGCCTAATCTTTGACAATACATGAACACGTGTGAACTAGAATGAGACGACACATATATAAGCATTGTTAATTTGAATTACCGTGTGACATTTGCAGCATGATTAGTACAATGGATTAATATTAGAAATACTATAAAACATTTAATCATGTTCAATATTAATATGTATCAAACTTGACTTTCATGATTTAGGTGTGTTAGGCCTAACCATTTTCTTTTTGTTTCCTTGTGGGATTTAATTTGTGTAATTAGTGGATGATGAGTTGTTAAACTCAAGATAATCTAGGTTATGAGCACGCTTCTTGATTGAGAACACGATGATGTGGCGACTCTTTAGGTTGGTATATATGTCGCTTCCCGTGATGCATGATGACATCATTTTGGACAAAAATTCTTAAGCTAATATTACCGTTGCACAAAAGAGCAAAAGCAACATCTCTAAAACCATTGTTCTTAAGTAACTCCATAGTGAATAGTTGTGAGCATCCTCAATCACTATCTATATGAATTAATAAAACGAATTTATCCAAGAATATATGTATATTTACACGACATTTTACACTTTACAATTTATATTTGAAGTATAAAACGATGACCTCCAATACAATCTTTGTTATTATAATTTATAGCTGTTTTCTTTTGGGTGATTTTGTATGAGTGATGTGAATAGCCAAAGCACAACTAGCCTTATGTTTATATTGTTCAATAAAAATAATGTTGGTGGCCTGAAAAGAAGAAAATAATAGAATGGATCTACGAAGGTGTGGTACTATTAATAATTATAGTATCGAGTTAGTGCTAATAAACCAAGAAATGCAAATAAATGTAACCTAATGAGAAATTGGAATAGTGGGGCTGCGCCTTGTGTTGCTGTTTAATTTATCCAGCCCAAATTGAAGTTTAATAATTAATGCAGTATTTATATATATATAATCAGTGCATTTTGTGATCTTTTAGCTTTAGAGATTTGTCCAAGATTTGAAGTTGAAGATTCTCATGAAGTTAAACCTAAAAGTTGGAATTGAATTGGTCTTTTTCATTAGAGAAACCAAATGTTGCACATTAATAATATACAGTTCAAATGGTTTTTGAATATGAATAGATGATCTCATGGCCCAAAATAAATTCTAATAGGTCAATGTTCGCAAAAAATTGCAAATCACAAGTACACGGGTCATGTTCAAGTTGACTTTTTAAGTTCGAGTTGTAGATCTCTCAAGGAATGTTTACTTTCGATTACACAACTTTAATCAATTTAATTTTAACAATAAAAAAAACACGCAATAAGATTTTATTTTGAAAAATTAACTAAAAATCTACAAAATGAGAAGACATAACATTTGAAAATTTCGGAAAAAATGATTGGAATTTATGGTTACGCTTAATTGTCACCTAATAATTTCTCCAAAAGCTAATTAACAAATTACTCATTCATGATGTTAGACCCGATTTTTCACATTTAGCTAATTACCTCTATCAGACAAAACTAACCATAATTAATTGGTTTATTCTATTATATCTTTATGTCGATTAAAATCAAACAACTGCATTATTTTTTTTTTTTTATGAAAAATAGCTAAATGAGTTATTTAAGATTATGGATATATCTCTATCCCCTACAATAACTTAGAGTTTCTACTATTTAGTCTAAAATGCACAATCTTCTCTCGAACAATGTACAAATAACAAATACAATCATCTATTGACTATATAAATGAAAATGCAATAATAACAGTAGTAACAGCATATGAACAAGAGTAACTTTAACATTAAGTGCTTGTTTGATACAAATTATTTTTGAAGAATTAATTTTAGAATAATAGATTGATACAAAATGTATGGTTAAAAAATTAAAGAGAAATTTTGAATTTGCATTTAATATTATTTTATTGAAAAATACGTAATTGAAAAGAAGTGAGAAAAATAAATTTTGAAAATAATGTGTATCAAACAAGGGCTAAAAAATAGTGAAATTAATCAAATTGGGTTAACTTCAACCTTAAATCCCAACACATGTTATACAAATGACAAAAAAAAAGGAATATTTATAGCAATACATTACAGGTTTGGTAAAACAATGGAGAACATACAAGGTTATAAATAAAACCTCCTTTTTGTTGAATTTTTGAAAATAAAAATTGTTTGCTCTTGATTTCCCCAAAACTTTTCCAAATCATTTGGTTCCACAAAATGCAAACAATTACAAAGAAAAAGAAAAGAAAAAAATGAAAGGAAAAAAAAGAAGAAAAAAATTCAAAAGTCGAAGAAGAAAGAATTTTTTTTCAGTGGCTGCCCTTCAAAACTATCCAAAATTTGCAACCTAAGTGCCCACAATTCGGGAAAAAACTCAAAATGGACCCTGGATTTGAAGCCAGGCACGCGCCTTGCTGAACATGAGGCGATCACCTGAACAGTTCGGCTGCCCTCGGTAAACCATAAAAGGGGCTAAGGGGAGTGTTGGCTCGACTGGCTTAGGTGCGTGAATGGTTGAAGTTTCCGTCTTCTCCATTTTCAGTCCTCAAGTAAATTTCAGTCCAAGTCCCTACACTTTCATCCTGTACAATTTGGTCCTCAAACTTTGACTTTTATTTCAATTATATCCTCCATAAATTTCATCTTGGGTCCTTGAACTTTTTGAAATTATTCATTTTGGTCCCCACTTTATGATTTTCCACACTTTTATTCTTTTTTTTTTTTTTCCTTCCATTCGCCTTGTTTCCATTCCTTTGGTGATTTTAGCATATAAAAGCAATTTTATCCAATTATGAGTAGAATTTCATCAACAATAGCTCGGATTAATTGGCTAATAAATGTATAAAAACACATTTATCAATCAATATATGACAACCATCTTATAGTATCTCAAATGATTCTAGAACAGCAAAACTCACTCTTTTTTTCAGAACCATCTTAAGATGATCACAATATGCTTTTAAATTAGCTGCAATAAATTTGTCCTTTCTAAAGTAAATAAAAACCCAAAGCCTTTTTTCAAACCTTCTCTAGTGATCCAATTGTTTGATATATAAAGGAAACAATTAGTTCATCAAAAAGTTCCTCCCTACGAGTTATATATTTCACTTGAAACACAGGATCAATTTCATAAGTAGTTTCTTTAGCAATAATTTTGACATCACTATATCCACTTAGCCTATATTTTCTATTTAGAAAAAGAAAAAGAAAAAGCCAATCAACTCTTTCACTTAATAGCAATACCAATAAGCATACTATAGTACTAGATTGTGAGTGTTTGCTAATTAAATTAATAACACGCAATATCTCATACCATATAATCAAGGCCAAAAAAGCTCAAAATTTCCAACATATAAGGATTGATAGAGAATGTGTGGTTAAAAAATAAGAGAAAATTTTGAGTTTACATTTAATATTGTTTTATTGAATAATGTGTGGTTGAAAATAAAATAAAAATATATATATTTTGAAAATAATGAAGATTAAACTTCGCTTTTGATTTCAAAAGCCAAAGAAATAATCAAATTAGTTTGAACTAATTTTGCTTATTTATTTGTTTTAATGTTTTAAGCTCTTTAACATGACCAAAAAATAAAATCTCTTGTAAAAAATATACAGTAGTTTTTTTCACCCCTATATACACACACACACACATACCCGGATTTAGCAAATTTGGACATGAAAACATGATTATGATATTGCGCCTTGTTATAAATTGGTGCCCTAAATATTTTGCTGTTATCTTGAACAATTAAGGATTGATGATCCCATGGCAGTGCAAGAAGAAGTACAAAGAAACTAGGTTAATCTGATAAAATAAAGGGTTTTATGCACAAACTTTGAAAGGAAAAATTAAGAACATATGAAAATCTCAAATTTGGATTATCCCATTGAAAAATAATTCTAAGAACTCTTTGCCTTTTATTTTTACTTGAAAACTTAAATGAATTCAAACCAATCATCCACAATTTGATCTTTTCTTGTTCTGTTTCTCTCTTCACTTGTGTCTCTCAAGAAGATCTTCCAGCAGCTTATTATCCAAATATTCAAACTCGATTACCTGTTCATCGTGCCCTTTCGACGATCCCTCCACTGCTAAATTCCTATCACTAGGAGGAGCTGATGAAGACGAAGATGAAGATGTAGAAGACGATGAATAACTAATAGATGGAGGCAGGCCTGCACTTCTATAATGGTCATCGTTTGGAAAGTTGAGAATTGCTTGATGACCCCTCAAAGCATATGCAGCTCTATCATAGGCCCTTGCAGCCTCTTCTGCCGTCTCGAACGTACCTAGCCACAAACGCGCGCCATTTCTGCTAGGATCGCGTATTTCAGCCGCGTATTTCCCCCACGGCCTCCTGCGAATGCCACGATATTTTACTTCTTTCTGCCCCTTATGGTCTTCCATATTTAGTCTCAATATCCTAATGTGAGTTCAAAATTGGTGACTGAGATAGAGAAGTAATGGATGATTATATATATATATATATATATATAAACATTAGAGGTCAAAAGTATTAGGTCATAATTGACGGTTGGAATTTGTTCGAGAACAACAGTCCTCGACAAGAATCTATCTTGGCTAAAGGCAAAGTAAAATCACAAATTTGCATGTTTTGAACCCTAAAAATGGCAATTCAGTGTATATAACCTAGTTTTTCAAAGTTTTACAATGAATTTGAAAGTAACGTCAATAGATTTTGGTGCGTAATGAGTACTTTTTGTCTGATTCTGTCATTTTTATAACCTAGAGAATGTTGAAAAATGTCTAAACTCACCCTCTAAAGACTGACGTATTTTGTTGGAGGATTAAGAAATGGCTGCTGGAGTTGGTAGTTCAACATCAACAGGCCGCCTTAGGTGGCGCAGACGTGGTTCAATATGATGTAAGGGTTAGCGTAAGAGCTTTTTTAGGGTACATCCATTTGTCCAACTAGTTAAATTTGGGACAGAATTATTTATTAAGGAAAGAGAGTATAACTCTTGCTTCAATCAAACTCATTATCGATTTCTTTCTTCTACATTTCTGTCCAATTTGCACCAATTTTTCAATATATATTCGACAAGTAAACCTTCTAGATAGTGTTGACCCCAAAAAATATTGCCAACAGATGCCGGGCCCACTCGCGTATACGTAAGCTTAATCCAACACGTTAATGTCGATCGACGGTCATGATAGCTCTAAAATCTGGACATGGGAGGAGCTCAACGACACGAGACGTCACCGTTCGGACTTCCGGCAAGATGAATATAACACGATTGTATAAGAAACCAATCGATAAATAACAAGATTTGTAATAGAAAATACGCTATTAAACGAGAGAGAGGAGAAAATCATATTGCTTTATGTATTTGGAGTTTCATTAACCCCTTTTGTGTTACATGGTGGGGATATTTATAGTGCTACAACTCAAATGGTGGCCTTTGGATCAATTTACACGTGGCCTCATCTTCTCGGCCAAGACATCAAGTCCTAACTATCAAATTGATTCTCTCCTAGCCTTACAAAGCATTAAATGCTCTTACATTGACAAGACAAGATACAAGATACTTTACACCAAGGTCACATCAAACATTCAACTAAAGATTTTCATCATTGGTTGCTTTCCACGTGGGCCTTCGGGGGTTGCTGGAGAGCCTCGGTTGAGAATGCCGTCCTCGAGATGAATAGGGCCTGGGAATCAGTAAAGGCCTCGGAATACACGTCAGAGGCTAAGAAAATATTCCCTGACCCAGATGGGCTGGTCCCACCTGCCCAATGCGATGCCACGTGGAGCCTCCATTCTACAATCCGTAACAATAGTTCCCCAAGTCCATGTGTGATTATTTATGCCATGCATGGACTTCGATAATAAAGTTAGGAAAAATTTTAAATTTTTCACTACTCACATCCGTCCCGCAAGTCCAGGCCCAGTTATTCATATTGG